GGACAGCGCAGAAGGGGAAGACCCTCTATGAGGTGGATTGATTCAGTGACTGGGGTAGTTGGGATGGATTTGTCAATGAGGCAATGAGATTGGCACAGGATAGAGCACGGTTTAGGGCTGTTGTACATAGGGTCACTATGAGTCGCAAATGACTCGACAGCACATAACAACAACAACAACGTGTGTATATACACACACACACACACACACTTATATATATACACATACATATACACATGCACACACACATGTTGTTGTTGATTTCCTTTGAGTTGAGCATGACTCATAGTGACCCTATGAACAAAAGGCATGAAGCCACTCTACAACTATGGACATTTATCAAGTTCATAGGTTTTCCCAAGGCGCACACACACAGACATACATATACACACACAGACACATATACGTACACACACGTGTGTGTGTGTGTGTGTGTGTGTGTGTGTGTAGTGTTGTTGTGTATCTTAGAGTCAGAACCAACCCATAGGTGACTCCCACAGGGTTTTCAGAATCATACAGGAGGAGATTGCACATCCTTCTCCCACAGAGCCACTTGTGGCCTCAAACTGCATGCCTTCAGGATTGCAGCAGAGAGAGATGATAGATATAATTATAGATATATAGATATAGTTATTATACTATCATGTTGACAACTCCATGCACAACTCGACAAAACACTGCCGGTCCCGTGATTAGTTGTAGTTGGAACTATCGTGATCCATAGGATTTTCACTGGCTGGTTTTTTTTTAAGCAGGTCACCAGGCCTTTCTTTCTTAGTCCATCTTAGTCTAGAGGCTCCCCTGAAACTGGTTTTGCCCCATAGCAACATGTAAGTTTCCAATGACAAAACAGGTGGTGGCCACACATGAGGTGGGTTGATTAGGAATCAGAGCCCGGCCTCCCACATGGAAGATGAGAGTCTTACCATGAGAAGGCGGGATATTCTTAGCTGGTTTCACTGATGAGAGACTAAGCCCTCGAGAGTTTAGCAGCTTCCTGAGGGCGACAGTTTGCAAATGGCAAGTTAAGCAAATTGCCTGCACTATGTCCTATACTTCCTCTCTCTGGTGAGTTTCCTGCCATTACAAAGTATCACAAACTGGGTAACTTAAAAAAAATTTATCCTCACCATTTAGGAGGCCATAAGTCCAACCTGAATGTGTTGGCAAGGCCATGCTCCTTCTCAAAGTTCTAAGGAAGGGTCCTTTTTGCCGCTTCTGTCAAACTTCTACTTGTAGATACATCATGTCTCTCTCTGCCTCTCTTGTCTCCTTGCTTGCCTCTGTATCCAATGTTCCCTTTTCTTCTAAAGACATCAGTCATTGGAATTTTGCCCACTCTAATCCAGTAGCTTTACCACTACACTACTATAACTATGCTCTTTCTTTAGTGTTCTAGGGTTTTCAAAGGCCCATTATTTAGGAAGTAAATGGCCCATCCTGCTTCTTAATCTATCTTAACCAAGGAACTCCACCAAAATCTGTCCACCGTGAGTAACCCTTATGACATCTGACACACCCGTGGCACAGATGACAGTATCACAG